AGGGTCCTGAGGAGTCAATTGACAGATGATGATAGTAGAATTGCATGTATGAAAATTCTGTGAAATTCAGCAAAGATCATTGTCAAATCTTCCCAATATTTCTGAATGCTATTTGTTTCCATTAAGCCTAATAACCAGTTTTAGGGTGGATTATATTTCTTGTTAAGTTTGCTTGTTACACTTATTCGGAATCAAGTGTAAAAGACACCAGACCTAGGCAGACCTAGAACAATGAAGGCAATCCCTTGTTTTCCACACAAGTAAATATCAGTTAAGCAATGCATGAGTTTCAGACCAGGATTATAGTAGGGGATGTCGATAGTGAACATTTTACAATATTTTGAAGTAACAGATGATAAGGGTCAGAGAGCTCTGTGTAGAATTCTCACACTGAGGAATCATACTTCCGTCTCTTTCTTTTGAACCCTTAAGAAATGCCAACCATGGTGTTTCCTTTTCTTCTTAGCCCTCATTGCTTTAACTCTGAAATCCCACCCAGTCTCCCACTTCTCAGATCTTTGCCCAAATCAGTCATAAGTGTCTGGGACTCACTTCTTTACTTTAACAGTTTTCCATGATTTAGCCTTTAAAAAGATGACAAAACAAAAACATTATCACTAGATCTTCCAAATTCATTAAGAAAAATTTTACGTTCCATTCATACTCAATTATAATAAAACAATTGTGCATCAAAATAATGTCGCTCTAGGTCAAGATAGGCATTTGTGAATACATTTATTCAACAGTATTTTTCATTCACTGTGTGTATCAAGGCATTATTACTGTGGGCCATTTGCTAGGACAGAGAGATCATTTCACTATATAGGGACTCTATGTTAAGTTGCCATTTTGTGCATTTTACATGTATAGCAAAGATTTTGATGTAGGGTTTTTTTTTCCTGAGGTGTTAGTGATGAACCAAGTTAAGGGATTTCCTATTGTTTGTAGAATGACAGGGCATTTTGTTAGTTTGCTATTACAAAGCCCTTCAGTTTGAACCTAGCTAATGAGTCCAGTCTGATGTCCCACTATTCTCCTTTATTCACCCTGCTTGTTGTATAGTTTAGCCAAAGGGAACAGGTTTCCTTGAACTGTCCCTCCAATCTTTGATCAAGAGGTTCTTGAGGACAGAAACCTCATTCTGCTTCTCTCTGAATCCTCATTATTTGGCTGATTGCCTAAACTTGGTTTTAAGTAAATGAACATTGATTGGCTAACTGAAAGTGTGTACACTTTACCTTTTTTTGTACCTTGTTCATTAAGTCTAAATCCTAGAAGTTCCTTACCAAGACCAACATAGATAATGTCTCCCAAGAACATTCAGTGAATTCCCCAATTTTCTCTGAACTATTATTAATAGCATTTTATGTAAAATTTTTGTATATACTTACCAGTTTACCATATATGATATAATTACTTTGATATAGGCATTATCCCATTTCTCCTATAGGCTTTTGTGCCAGTTGGTTTTGGCCATGAATACTCTACCATGTGTATTCTTGGACTGTGTTACCTATACCTTGGGGGGTTACCAGGATCCAGGGAGATAAGGTATATAAAGAGCAGTTGACACTCAGTAAGGAAAGAACATAGACCCTACTAACATACATGTAAATATTCTGATTCTTTTCTCTCCTTATCTGACTCTAAGCAAGCTCCTTGAAGGTAGGAGTTAATTATGTTTCCCTTTTCTGTACCAACAGTGCCTAGCAAGTGCCTTAATCTTATTAGATGCCCAAATATATATGGAATGAATGAACAGAAACTTAGTCATTCTTGATAATGGTAATATTTATGGCACTTTTATTTAAGGTTCAAAATTTGATTAGTAAATGTTATAAAAATTAAGAGAGATAATCTTGGGTATTTGTGTTACTTAATTCTTGGCCTTCATCCGAAGTTTATCAATCTCTAGATACTTATGTAAAGTGTATATAACATGCTATAGATTATCCAGAAGCAGTTCCCCCAAATATAATTTTTAGTCTGGTTGTTACCTCAGGCATCCTATCAGTGAATGGAATTTGAAATATTTTCGCAAAACTCTAAGTTACTTAAAAATGCAACCCAGATATAAATGATTTGAACTTACTTGGATTCTGACTCTTTGCCGAATTCAGTCAAGTTATGAAAATAAAGATACATTTAACTCTATTACTGTGGACCATTCTCACTTGGAGAAATGTTTTAAATATGTGGAGTTGTTTATATTTGAATTTGAAGGAACCTAGAGAATAAACCCCTAATATTTTGATCAAAAATAAAAAGATGTGATAATAAACATGTGGAGTTAGAAATTTATCCATTTTTATAATTGATAGAAAATGTCTTTATAATGGTGAAGTGGCCAGTGAATGCTGGAAAATAAACCAAAGAACATTCTTACCTTTAGGCTTCCCTCAGTGCTAGTGCCAGTTTTTATGTTTAAAGAACCGGAGGAGCAAAAACATACAATCAGAGCAACACTGCAAAAGACAATCATTAAAGCATTGATGCTCAGTGGGTGGGGTAGGCATGTTCACCTGGGGGAGTATGTTAATTCCCTGGGTTTTCTTGTGTTTATGCTTTGCTTTTCTTTTTTTAAAATTTTTTTATTGTTATGTTAATCACCATACATTATTAGTTTTTGGTGTAGTGTTCCATGATTCATTGTTTGTGCATAACACCTAGTGCTCCATGTAGAACGTGCCCTCTTTAATACCCATCACCAGGCTAACCCATCCTCCCACCCCCCTCCCCTCTAGAACCCTCAGTTTGTTCTTCAGAGTCTATCGTCTCTCATGGTTTGTCTCCACCTCCGATTTCCCCCCCCTTCATTCTTCCCCTCCTGCTATCTTCTTTTTTTTTTCTTAATGGATATATTATCTGTTTCAGAGGTACAGATCTGTGATTCAACAGTCTTGCACAATTCACAGCGCTCATCATAGCACATACCCTCCCCAGTGTCTATCACCCAGCCACCCCATCCCTCCCACCCCACCCCCAACTCCAGCAACCCTCAGTTTGTTTCCTGAGATTAAGAATTCCTCATATCAGTGAGGTCATATGATACATGTCTTTCTCTGATTGACTTATTTCGCCATTTGCAATGACGTGGATGGAACTGGAGGGTGTTATGTTTATGCTTTTCTTTAACAAAACGTTTCTTCATCCATACTCATTCCCCAAAAAAGACTGAGAAGAGTAAGCTCTAACCTAAGGTTATAACGTCGACAGCCTTCTTAGTTCTGAAGAAATGTACAGATTGTCTTTAACATCACTTCTTGTTTGTCCTGAGCAATCCCCGAGTGGCCGGTGTGTGTCTGTCATTGGACTAGATGTTGGGGGATAGGGGATACAAGGATGGACATGACTCTGTTATTCCTTGAAGCTCACAGGCCAGAGCATGTCCCTTAGATTTCTGCTATCACAAGAAATGTTAATAAGAGTTTTGTGATAAAAGGATTACCTATTTCTTTTACTTCGGTAATAGTAAATGTTTTATCCATGTTGACGGGACCAAGAAGCCTTTCAATAAAGAAAACAGTGTGACTTGTTATCCAGTATTTTCCCACTCTATTTAACCACCAGACCCTTTTGTGGGTCATGGGTATTAATTAAGTTGCAAGGCTATAAATGCTCCGTAGCACACAGTTTGGGAACCTGCCCTGAGATGGTTATTGGCCATGTGGGTGCAGTGAGAGCAGTTGGGGCAGGGAGCTGGGAGGTCTTTACACACGGGATTACACATTAAACCAAGCCTGGAATGAGGAGTAGAAAAGGAAGGGGAGGATAGAGTTTAGGGCTAGACAGAACAGAGTGTACAAATGCACAAATGTTTGACAGAGCTCGGTGTTTTTGAGGAAGCCCCAAGTAGTTCAGTATCATTAAACTGAAGTGGGGAAAGAAGCTATACACCAGAGAAGGATTCAGGGCCCTTGAAATGTTTAGCATGAGTGATGTATAAAGCCCGTAGTAATCAGTTCCTAAAATTTGAAGTTATGTAAGGTCTGTCGTGCTTCATGGTGAAAGCCAATTTTCTGTATGGAGAAGAAAAGTTCCAGATTTGTCAAAAACTAGCAAAAATATGAAACTATTATGGCTGAATCATCTACCCTGTGCTGCTATTGAATTCTTAAGGTTATTTAATGATACTTTTTAAAAATTTTTGAGTCATCTGTGAACATTTAATATGATACATTAGGAGCGATGAAGCAATTTTCCATGTTAAAAGTTTCAAGTTAATTTCTATTTTAGAATTTATAGTAGGAGAATCATCACACATAAAGACAGAACAATGTGATGTTTTTATATTTTAGAATTTAGTTTAACTGAGCTTTCCCTAGTTATCATTGATGCACGTTATAAAATATTGGAAAGTGTAGAGAAATATAAAAAACAAAGTGGTTTTGTGCCATAAAGAGACAAATGTACGTGTCAGTAGTTTTTGCTAAACAAATTTGTTTTACATACTTAAAATTCTGAACACAGTGCTGCTACTTTTTTTCGTTTTCCACATTGTGTTTTCCACATGTGTAAATACCACATTTAAAGACTATATAACATACCATTCAATGGATATACCATTGTTTGTATAGCTGTAGACAGTCTCCAGTTTTTCTAACTAAATTTTTAGATGGTTTCTATTTTCTTTGTTATCATAAATATTTTGTATATATGGTTCCAGAATTGTAATGATAGAGTTAAAAAGTGGGAATGTGTTTAAGGCTCTTGAAGCGTGTTTCCAAATTACTTACCAAAACAGTACAAGTAATTTATATTTCCATTGGGAGTGTATTGAAGTATTTATTTCACTAGGTATTGAGACCAATCATTTAAAAAGAAAAAAAAGACAAAAATAACAAACTTTGTTGGTTCAGTAGTTTAAAAATCTGGACCCATATTGTTTTGTTCATGGTTTTAATGGTAAGCAATATTTCAGTTAAATTATCCTTTTTAATACTTTGTGTAAACAAATGTAAGAATTTTCTCTTGATACGAAGCTCCTTTTTATTTTGGAGGTATCCTTCACGAATTGAAAAAATTGACTATGAGGAGGGCAAGATGTTGGTTCATTTTGAGCGTTGGAGTCATCGTTATGATGAATGGATTTACTGGGATAGCAATAGGTTGCGACCGCTGGAGAGACCTGCATTGAGAAAAGAAGGGCTAAAAGATGAGGAAGATTTCTTTGTAAGTATTAAGCTTTTTCCATTTGCTAGCTATGTAATGATACATTTCAGAAGGAATTCTGTTAAATATTACAAAAGCTTATTTTTATAAAGGAAATGCTTATTTATTATACATGGTATTGATCTTAAAAGTTGTTTAAAATAGGATTTTAAAGCTGGAGAAGAAGTTCTGGCTCGCTGGACAGACTGTCGCTATTACCCTGCCAAGATTGAAGCAATTAACAAAGAAGGTATGTATTTGAAGTAATCTGAGATTTACAATGGGATTAATAGTAAAATTTAACTGGATTTCTAATTTTAATTAATTGTGTAATTGTTACATATGGTTGTTACTTTTCTTTGTTTCAGACTTAATAAATTTCCTGCTAATATTCTTTTTTGGGAGTATTTTATTTGTAAATATAGAATAACATGACACCTGATCTACTTACTGCCTAAATAAACTTTAGGAGCAGTAGATAATTGGTTAAAATTGTGCAGCATTCAGTTCACAGGCTTACATTATATGCATTTTATTTCTTCTTCTCTGTTTCTAGTTTGTCGGCTAAGTTATTTTTATGAGCAGTTCAACCAGAATGTGAGGGAAGGTTAAAGATACAAGGAAATTCAAATCAGGTCAGCTTGGAAGTAAAATACAGTACAGTGTTTTCTGAGGAAAGAGTGTGAAAATTTATCAATTTGAGGGTTTCCTTTATTGCATCTTTCCCCTGCCCCTGTTTTCTTCATTTCTATAGATAAAATTGAAAGTTAAGTTTCCTAATAGCCTTTGTGGTATCTTATATGATATTGAGCAAAAATTACTGAACTGATCAAATGTTGAAAATAACACAGAAATCAGGTATGTTAGTGTGACCGAAGACGAATACATCTGTTGGGCATATAATGTATTGAAAAAAACAGAACTTCTAGACTGATTAACTTGGAAAGGCTTGAGAATTAGTATTTAAATTAGTATTAGGAATATACTTAAATATTTTATTTTTTTAATTTCTTATTTAAAATCTCACTTTTAAAAGTTGTAAAATAGTTTACAAGTGTATATTTCAAGTCAGTAATACATTAGTATTCTATAACAATTTCTTAAACTTGACCACTCATTCATTCTTTTCACTGAAGAGACACACATTGAGTGACAGCTTCTTTGCAAGAGGAGCATTTAATCTAAGTAAGGGGATGCTTCCTTTAAACCTGAAAGACAAACAAGTCAGCTAGATAAAGAAGGAATGAAAGGCTTTTTCAGACAGAAGAAATGGTATATTGCAGAAGAACAGAAGAGAGGCCTTTCACTTTTTAGGAATTGCAAGACTTTGGTGTGACTGGAATGAGGGAGTCCTTTAAAGGGAATAGAATATCAGAAGAGGTGGGAGAGAGAGAAGCAAGGATCTGTGTATGCAATGTCTTGTTACAGAATTTGAATTTTATTTGGAGGTGATGGGAAGGAACCGTGGAAGGGATTTAAACTGAGGAGATTTAAAGTAATAAACTTGAGAAAAAATGGGAGCTAAGAGCAGATAAAAGGGGAAAACATTTAAAAAGAGATATATTAAAGAATGTTAGGTGTGGAAAAGTAAATCGTTGCTGTCTGGCTAGAAATTATGATATAACTTTACAAAGGCCTATTCCAATTTATTGCTTTAAGGAATGGAAATAACATATATGGCTATGATTTTACTACCTACCTCTAGTCACCTTACTCCAGGAAGAGTTGAGGGGCATCTCCGTTGTCAGGTTTGCCGGTTACTTTTCCTTTTCTGGTCTGGCCTTTATTTCACTGTGCACTTAGACTTCTTGAGAGCCCATATCCTCCCTGTGTCTTACACATGTGCACTCCCTAGCTTTCTAGTTCAGAGCCTAACACATAGGCAGTCAATAACAGTTTGTGGAAGGAAAGGAGGAGGTAATGGATCAATTCTGTTGGATAGTAAATGGACCCACCCAAAATAAAAGAATATGAAGCACAATTAAACAACATTCTCTATTTTAAGGAAGAGCAGTTCCTTTAAGAGTGGAGAGCTTTGAGACCTTGCCTCCATGCTTAAAGCTCCTTGGGAGTATAGCATATACAAGTCCACGTATACACACACATGTAATGCACTCAGAAGCAAAGGCCCCATATTTTATCCTATCCCGTTTGTCAATGGGCATAGAATACAGAAAATTAAATTCGTATTAGTGGAAGAGTGAAGACACTTAGTGTAGTTTCTGCCATTTCAGGAGGAGTTTAAGTGAGCCCTTAGTGAAATATTGGCAGATGTAATTTCTTTTTAAAAAATCTCCATTGGAGGTATTTGTTTTGTGATGTCTGTATGCCCCACATGGTGGATGAGCCTGCCCAGCCCATGACCCCAAAGAAAAACAAAGCAAAGGAAGCCTTCAAGAGGCTTTCTGTTCACTGTAGAAGCTAAACAAAACTAACAAAAATGAACGTTTAGGTGTTTGAAATATGTCTTAGGGAAGTTGAAGAGGAGGGACAGATTTGTAAACTGGAGGAAACAGGGGGAGTGTTCATATTATGGGTGGGATTTAAAGAGCTGATCCTTGAAGAGTAGGTTGGAGGGAGGAAAGGAGAAAGGCATCATGAGAGCCGAAACAGTGTGATCAACAGTGGGGAGGGATGAATGCCCAGCTGGCGTAGTGTGGAGCCTGCTCTCCTCTGCAAGGCCATTAATGAAGAAGGAAGAGAACAGTTGTGATGGTAGTGTAAGGTGCACGTATGGTTTGGTATTCTCACAATTTTCCCAGTGTTTTTATATCCTTGCTACTCAGTGGATTAGTTTTTTTCAGTAACTTGGGTCTACATCTTTATGTCTTCAATATTGTGAATTATGCTAATTATAGAAAAGATGAAATCAAATGATGTTCAAATTAGAAAATTAAGGAAAATCTTTGTACATATATATCTGGCTTTGGTGCCATCTTCTAAGCCAGTCATAGTAATCATCACACTTATTGTTTATACTTCTTTTGTAAAGGTCAAGTGTCTGTTTACTTAAAATGGCTCTCAGCCCTCATTTGTACAGGAAATGATAGAAAAATATTGAAATTTCTTAAGTATAAAATCTATGTAGTTTATACATTTTGTGGTAATACTGACTTTTGTTGACTTGAAAGCATGACCTCTGTAACCCAAAGTGAATATGCTTTGTGACTGTCGTGCAAACAGGGTCTCAAACCCTAAGAGCAGAATAAGTGAGTGGGGAAGGCGTGGGGCTGGGGGCGTGGTTACGGCTGTGCTGCTTAGGGCACTGCTGTGGACAGAGCCTTCAGCCGCTTGGAGTTCAGTGTCTGTCTGCACAGCAGCACTTTCACCTAGATGGTCTGTGGACTGTTTTCTAGCTTAGAAGCCTGTGGATCTGATTCTTACTTGCCAGTTCGTTAGTACTGTGAATGGAATGATCTCTCCTTGAGTAAATGGTTTTTTGTCTCTATATCAGTTCTTTCTCTCTCAAAAGAAACTTTCAATGGGGATTAACATAAGAATAAAAAAAATACAAAGAAAAAAATAAAAAGAAACTTTCAAAGAGAGCAAAGGATAATTCCTATAGAAATATTATTTATGCTTGTAAATAATGATTTTATTAGAGGGAAAGGGAAAATAAACTTTAACCCACTTGATGGGAGTTCTTAATGGGTGTGTTTGCAGTTACTGCAATTACAGTGTATATACTTCTGTCAGGGCATTACTTGTTAGATTTCAAATGTTGCTGTAAGATTCAGTTGTATTTTCTAATGATTCTGACTTGCTCCTGTTTCAGGAACATTCACAGTTCAGTTTTATGATGGAGTAATTCGTTGTTTAAAAAGAATGCACATTAAGGCCATGCCCGAGGATGCTAAGGGGCAGGTAAGGGTGTTCAGCATTCCTAGCTACCCAAAGGGATGTCTTCTTGAATGGTGACCAATCAAAACAAAATTTATATATATATATTTTAAAGTGAACTAATTGTAGGATTATGTGCTGATAGCCCCAAATAGCAGCAAGAAAAAGAAGCTTAGAATGTAAGATAAATTATACACTTGATTTTTGCTTCTTTGGCTTTAGACCTGCTAAAGTTATAGGTCACTAGTTTCTGTTCCAGGTGAAATCCCAGCATCCACTAAGCTGGTGTTGTCCTATCGACCCAGCTGGATCGTGTAACCAGTCTATGGGAAGTGAGGTAAGTGCCTTTTTTTAATTTCATTTTGTTTTTCCTGGTATATAGTATCATTTAGAAAGTTAATTTTTAATATAAAATTTTATATTGAGCTGCTTATCTTCTTCTTTCCTTTTATAAATCATAGTCATTAATCTTCTTTCAAAAGGCGCTTACCTGACACTCTGTAGGCTGTTTCAGGTAGGGCTCTCTGAGTCATGGGATGTAAGCAGTCTATTACATGCTTTGTCACTGCTCAAAGCAAGAAAGAACGGTAAGCATTTAAAGGAGAATCTGGGATGAAGTTAAAACCATGATTCCATTGGTTGAATATGTTTCCTGAAAGATTGGAAAGAAAAGGTGCCAGTAGAAATTTAAAATATTTTCTTTTATGTTCTGCTGTTATTTGGGATTTTCAGCACCTGGACCTACAATTAATTTTAAGAATTGAAAGTAATCTGTAAAAATGTCTAATATGGAAATATGCTACATATTTGTTCCATACATGTGCAGTGAAAAGTATCATTCTGAAATGTGTTGAAATCATCTGGTCAGCTCCAGCCAAATGTGTACGTTTAGTAATCTAGAAATGTACATCACCGCATTAAAAAAAAAAAATGATTCCTGATATCTTCGGAGAAGCATGATTGTTTTAAATCACCTGGTTTTCAAAAATTTAGTTTTGCAGTCCTCAGCTAGCAAATTTTTTTTCCCCAGTTAATATGGAAATGCAATTTAAAATGGAAGTGCTTTTGATCAGGAAATTGCTTTGTGTCTTCTTACTTGTACGTATAAATAAAATGTTCCTTTGAGCATTCAGTGGTGTGATTTCTTGATTACTGCATAGAAAGGTTGATTAAAACATTGAGAACTTAGTTTAATATATATCTTTAATTAAACAAAAAATATTTATTTTTTGCTTTAAAGCTATTATTTTATTCTGGTTATTCAAATGTTTGTGAGATGGCACTAACCCTAAAACTTCATTTTTTTTCCAAAGTGATACACTGAGCCAATTTTGGTAAAATTACAAGTTATAAAAATTAATTTATGGGATGTATTGGGTGTTTACTTTTAGTGAATAATTACATTATGACGTATATTAACATGAAAATCAATGCCAAAATATAAACTACTGAAAGAAAATAGGAGTAACGCTGTATTTCTTTTTTTTGAGAGAGAGCTTGAGAGTGTGGTGCATAAGCCAGGTTGGGGTGAGGGGTGGGAGCAGACGATGCAGGGCTTGATCTCACAGCTCTGAGATCATGACCTGAGCTGAAATCAGGAGTCGGAAGCTTAACCAACTGAGCCACTCAGGCGCCCTGAGTTAACACTATTATTTCTTTTAATTTACATTTTTCTTCATAATTTTTAATTACTAGCACACTAAAATATTTGTAGAATTATTTTTTATAAAATGGCCTCATTTTAGAAATGTCTTTTTTTCCCCAAAAAGTTTTTGACTTGTTTTCGTGTAGGAAATACACTAAGTCAGGTGTTGTGTGGGCAGTGCTGAGAGAATCCATCTTTGCGTGTATCTTAAAAATTTTGAGTACTTTGAGAATTCCTTTGTAAAGATACACAGTAAATTTCTTTTACTAAATTAGCAAAGGATAAATAGATGCAGTTTGGAAATATATTCTCTAAACTTTCTGTAGCTTTTTCTATCCTATTTTTTCTTTTTGCAAGTGTGCTGATCTAAAACTCACTAATGTTAAAGGTTTGCTCTTAAGGTCCTCTACTATTTATAAAACTTTTTTTGCATACATTATTTAATTGGGGTCTCATAGCAAATTCTTTGACATAGCTATGACTGATACTTCTATTTCACAGTTGAGGAATTCAGAACTTAGAGAATTGAGTGACTGACATAGAATTTTGCATAAGTGTAATGCACAGAGTGACTCTGAACTCAATCCGATTTCTTTATTGTGTATTGCTCTTTTGTCTACAGGGAGCTTTGAAGCAGATCATTAGTTCTAATTCATGAAAGGATCACACCAGTTATTTTTAATAGTGAATCTTACCTGTTTAAAAATAGAAGGGCAATATAATGGGAGAATTCTTTAATGACACAACTGCAGTGATTCCATGATTAACAAGTCATATGATCAGGAACTTTAGGAAAAAAAAATCTGATTGCACTTTTAAGAGCAACAATACGAATCTCTCCCAGTTTTCTGTTCATTGGAGAGAGAAAAGAGGTGGGGATGGAATTTACCTCTGGCATTTTTCAGCATTTCTCTAACAACTTAAAAATTTCCCCACAATGTGGAACAGAGAATTAAGCACTCTGCTCTTCATAAGACCTTACAGGTACGATCTCTGCTGAATTTGGCACTTTGCTAGTTGGGCTGTACTTTGTTTCTCTTTCTGCCCTGTTGATTACTCTCTGTCAATTTCATTGGTGGTGCTTTTTTTTCTCTAATACTCAATGTCAGTCTCAAGGCTCAATTTAGCTGTAGCCCTTTGACTTACTCAGACTGCTCCTTGCCCCTTGTGCCTGTTTGCGTACACTCTTGATTGCCATGGCTTTGTCTAATGGTTTTCCTCTCCCTGGCGGTGCCCATTGACTCCTTTCCTTCTGCCCTTTGCCTTGAAGATTCTTGCTGCAGGACTCACCTCATCTGTCATGTTTCCTGAAGCCTTCCAGTAGCCTTTCTCTTAAATCAAGATTAATCTTTTGTTTTGTTTTCTTCCATGGTATTTTGTTTATTCCTCCACTGCCTCTTCTATCACACCGTCTTATAGTTAATTTTATTTGCCTTTCAGTTCCTTATAGGTAACAACAAAAAACATGGCTCTAAGTAAACCTGGGATTGGACAGTACTGGTTTATCTGGTTTGTTTTGTTTTGTTTAATTTTTTTTTACAAACTAGAGACATCTGTATTTCACAACTGTGTCTTTTTAAAGATTTTTTTTATTTATTTGACAGTGAGAGAGAGTGAGATCATGAGCAGGGCGGAGGGGTAGAGGGAGAAGCAGACTCCCTGCTGAGCAGGGAGCCAGGCGGGGATGTGGGGCTTGATACCAAGACCCTGGGATCATGACCTTAACCGACTGAGCCACCCAGGCACCCTGTGTCTTAATTCACTTTCTAATAATACATGTACTGGGGACACAGTTTAAGTACTGAAAAAGCTAGATGCTGGTCATCTTCCAGGCAGGAGCAAAGGTGTGGTCACTCCAGGGCCTTTCAGGCAGCATCTCTTATAAATTGTCTCATAAATGCTTAGCATGCTTCTTGGCACATGTAGCAAGCAAGATATTCAATAGAAAATTGGGTGAATGAATGTGTTAGGTACAATCACATGATAGTTTAGTTCATTTTAATCATGGGGGAGAGAACGAGACAGATTTTGTTTGTTGGTTTATTTTTAATGGCTTATTGTCTTCACTGTATATTTTCAAGACTGAGCAGCCATCAACCTATATCACCTAATGATTGACTTCTGTTCATGTAACCTGTGAAGTAAATGCATTTGATGTTGTGAAGTAGTTTTTAGTTATGTGGGCTAGGAATTTAATGTATTACCCATTTTGGTTGAATTTCAGTTGGTCTGAAGCTTAGTGGTCTCAGTGGAAGATTAACTGTAGAGATAGTACAAATACTTGCTTTAAAAAAATCTTTTTTTATTGTGAAAATTTAAATGTTAGTACCACTTTTTAAATATCTTTTCATATTTTTTACAATAAGCATTTTTAGTTAAAAATAAAATAGTAATATTAAAAATTATTTAGCAACAAACTGAAAATACACAGGAAGAGTAAATATTTGCATCTCAGAAGAATGGTAATCAACACAAATCCTAGGAAGTTGAAGAGGGAGGGAAATTAATCTGGGGCCTGACAGCATGTATTTCACCTTGATCAAATCAAGTGGCTCTTTTTCTTTCACTAGTAATATTAAGCTGTTGTGGTAAATTGGTGTCCAAACTTTCAAAGCTTTAAAAATTAATAAAATCATACCTTGAATTCTATGAAATTGACCATACTGTGAGTGGTACATTCTTCCTAACAAGGAACAGTAATTTGTTCAGTGGAAATACATTTCTTTTAATCTTTACAGAATTGCAACGAAAGCATTTTTCTCTTCTGTTAAGGTTTGTTGTATTCAGAAAAGAAATGCAATTTGCCACTTGAATCTAAAGTACTAAGAGCATCATGTAGTGTTCCATATTTGTTAGAGGGTTGCCTCTATTATTTTAGATTTTATTCCTGTGAAAACATACCAGAGAAATATTTGTTACTGAATATTTTCCCATTTCATGTAAGGTTATACAATCCAACTAACCCATTAGATCATTAAATTTCATAATCACCATGTTGATTTATCTTGTAAATATAATTAATTTGATTTTTATATTTGTGTGCGTGTGAGGGTAGCTTTGAAAATGTGAGACATGTTTTCATTAGTGTAATTAAATTTTGATTAATTTTTAATACTTCACATGTTTTGTGTTTTTCCTTTGGAGGATTGGATAGCTTTAGTCAAAGCAGCTGCTGCAGCTGCAGCCAAGAATAAAACAGGGAGCAAGCCTCGCACCAGCGCCAACAGCAATAAAGAGAAAGAGAAAGATGAGAGGAAATGGTTTAAAGTACCTTCAAAGAAGGAAGAGACTTCAACTTCTATAGCTTCTGCAGAAGTTGAGAAGAAGGAAGATCTGCCCACATCTAGTGAAACATTTGGTACAAAATATGTTCTTACGTTCATTCTTTGTGTCAGGGTGAACTCGCTTAGAGAGTAAGCCAGACCCCTTAGCTACCTGCAATTTGAGGGTGTGGTCAGATGATTGGGCTCGTCCCTCGCATGAATGGTTAACTTCTACAGAAGTTACAGTTACAGAGCTGAAGTTTACTGGTCTAATATGGGTATTGGATAATGGGTGACCTCAGTATTCTTGAATAGAAATGAGTTCAGATTTTGACTTTTAAGTTCTTGTTAGTAGGCTTTGGGGTATTTGTTTTGTGTTTTTTTTCTTTAACTTTTTAAGTGCTTCTGCATGTATTTTGGTATGTAATATGGAAAAAGCAGTGAGTCATTTTCTTCCTGCTTTTCTTTCCTAAAGAATAACTGCTTAATAGTTCTTTATTTCTAATATATTAGTTTGGAGAAATTTGTGTTTCTTAAAGTTCTGTGTTAATCAGTAGGTTAAAAAAAATTAAGTGCAAATCATTTTTACTATTTTGCTATTTAAAAAAAAATCATGTTTTTTAACTTTGGATTCTAGATAAACTCTCATATATGTATTCTATTAAAAGTAGGACTTCATGTAGAGAACGTTCCAAAGATGGTCTTTCCACAGCCAGAGAGCACATTATCAAACAAGAGGAAAAATAATCAAGGCAACTCATTTCAGGCAAAGAGAGCCCGACTTAACAAGATTACTGGTAAACTACAATGATTCTTTTGGGGTGGGGGGGAGGATTGGAGGGTTTGATTTTAGAATAGTCTGCTTTTAATAAAGTGAAATGTATCTGTGGTTTAGTGTAACAAACTGGTCAACAAGAAAGACAGTTACTTTATGGTTCTTCAAGGTCAACATCCTCCAACACTGTCAGCTTTTTCTGTTGCGAAATGTGAAAACTATCACATATTTTCTACCTACCTCACAGGGTTGTTGTGAGGATTGATAGGATCAAATGTGATGAAATTCCATAGCTTTAAAATCACCTGGTAGGAGTAGTTTCTATAAACACTGGATCATCTGCCTTCGTCAACCTGTGGTGACATAATCTCTGCGGTTCTAAATATTATTATATAAACATTCTTATCTTGCCCGGTCTCATTAAAGATGGTAGCAAATAAGGGGTGCCTGGCTGGCTCAGTCGGTGGAGCATGCAACTCTTGATCTCGGGATTGTGGGTTCCAAGCCCCACGTTGGGTGTAGAGATTACTTGAAAAAATAAAATTTTAAGAAAAAAAGATGGTAGCAAAAATGGTTGGAAAGATGAATGCTGAATTAAATTTAGCTCCTGAATATGTTAATTCCCAAAGTAAAAGTACTTTTATAAGTTTCTCAAATTTCTTACCTTCAGGTTGGTCCTTAGAAGCTTGTCTTATTTTTCTGGGCTTTGTTGTAATTTAGAAAGTAGGGTGTTAGGATGATGAAAACTCTGGAAATCCTAGCCTGGTTAGTGTTCACAGGAGAAGAGATTTAAGTATCTGAAGCAGGGCCAGTCATACTAGGCTCTCTCACTTCCAAGACCTCTTCAGTCTAATGATTCTAGTCTTTAAAAAAATTGTAAACATACTTAATTTTTCTGAATATATGTTAAAAGGGGAATTAAAATAAAGTATTTAGTCATATCTTCTTGTTTTAAGGACAAAGTGTTTTTTAGTGTCTTTGGCCTAATAAAGTTATATAAACCTCTGTTGGCATTCTTTTAAATAATATGAAGAAGCTTTGGTTTCATTGTCAGATCAAAGAATAAATGGAAATTAGACATGTTGACCATTTTCTGAAGAATAGAAGCCCATTGAAAAATGACTCTGCAGCTGAGGGTTCTTTAGGAACCACTGTTTTATTATAGTGTTCATTTTAAGTGATTATAATTGGTTTCAACAGGTGAGAATATTTAGTCTTTCCATTTGTTAATGTTATTTTTGTGCCTTTTTCTGATAAAGGATATTTTTGGCCCTAGGACAGGAAATATTTCAAATGAATTCACCCATTGCACCTTTTCCTTAGAAACTGTTAGCTTTGGAGAAAGTCAAATTGTTACCCGGGTGATTGTTATGATGGCAGTTTAAGACTTCGGTTTGGCCCTAGCAGAGTGGAAACTAGGGTTGCATACTGTGGCAGAAGAGGAAGAGCACTTCTAGCCCCTGTGAGACAAGACTGAAAGAGCGCTACTGGAGGGGCCAAGACCAAGGGAGATGGACGTGACACTGACGCTGGGTGACTGCCAACTTACCAGCCTCAAGGGTTTTCCTGTAGTCTGGATAATCTGCTTTTAGTTTCAGGCAGTCTGTTCTCACAGGTGCCTTACTGAGAAGTTCAAGCCCAACATTTAAAGAAATAAAAGAAGAAAACCGCTCAGTGCACAGCAACGTATTATTTACCTATGGCCTTGAAAAGACAATAGTGGGGAAAACCATTTTACCGTGTGCCTCAAGGAAATTCTAATACTGGTTGCTTAGTAATACCCTGCACCTTGTGTGGAGGGACTCTGTCCTCACATCCCCTTGGGAGTCTCAAAAGAACAAGTGATAGTTTGGCAGCAGTAGAAAAATGTAAGATTTTACAGATGTGAAGTCATTATGATTTTTCCCTTTATTTCCTCAGAAGATTTGAATGTATGAAAATCCTTTTAATAGTTCATCTTTCTGTATTTCTGTGTTCACCTTGCAACTATATCATGCCAAAAGAGAATAGATCTTAACAAGATTGTCTTCAGTGGTTGAAACTCAGGCTTGTTTCTGTGCAGTAAATTTCATTTGTAGACCATAAAAAGAGAGGAGAACTATAAAATAGTGATTTTGTTACAGAATTACGGTGTATTTTAAATTTATCAAGCTCACTTACATGTGTCTTTTTGCCTCTTTACTACTGAGAGGGATAGGGCTATGATCATGGCAGCATCTTAGCCTGCTCTGATGTATTCCCCCATACTCCATTTTATTTATTTTTGAAACCATTCTAGCTGGAAATATGTGGACCAGCCACTGGATAAATTTAATTGATATATTCACTCCCCTTCTGTTTCCTCCCTCATATACACACCCTATAGAGATTCTAAAGCCTGATTTCTCTTTAGGGAATGGTAGGTATAAGATGGCTTTTTTGAAGTTTCCAAGTAAGTACATATTTGAAATGATAGTTGCACAGCATATGTATGTTCTTCCAGAGACTTATTTTTCATTATGTAATGTACCTTATTGATAGTTATATACTTTACGCATGCTGATTTAGAATTGACAATTTTACAGAGCGATTCCAGAGTCCATACTTAGAGACAAAGTTGCAAGCAAACTTCAAGCGAATTTGAGTAGATTTTAAAATACAGATTGTCAAGGGAGTAAAAGAAGAAACAGCAGCAATTGGTGCATGTCTGTTTCTACTAGTTCAAGGAGTTCTAGAATTTCAGCCAGCTTAGATATGTGTGTGCAACTTAAGGAATTTTAAAAATAATTTAAAAAAACCCCAGAGGTTTGAATGAGCCAGTACATGTTACTCATTCAAGAGTATTTGATTCTTATTCCCAGCAAGAACGTTGTGTTTTGGAATCCCTGGTTGAAAAGTGGAGCACAAATTTGACTACTTTTTCTTTCCTCCCCTTTGCCATTCCAGGGTACTCTGGCCTCCGTTCTATTCATTCCTATTAGCAGAGAGAGACAACTATGTATTTTGTAGATGAAGTACAGTATTGAGAAATTGTGACTTTGTGGGTGTGACTCATGAATATTTGATATTCTACTTTTACCTGATACTTACATAATAATCTTGAAACTGCATAATGCATCCTGTTAAGATAATTACAGATACATTCTTCTGGAGGAGGACCTGGGTTAGTGATATATTGATAAATAATAAGTATTTACAGATAACTAAAATTCATTTGTATCTCTTTCACTTAACTCTTCTCATTTTCTCAGGATATTGCATTTCTCCCCAGCATGTTCGCAGGCCAAGAAGACAGATTTTGGACAGTCTCTTAAGGCAGCGACTTTCCAAAGCCTTTTAATCTTGTCCCCTTTTGTTGTTTGTATTTGGTACCTCTTCTGTAAGATAGCATGTATATAAAGTATGAAAAGCTTTTATCGATTGTACTGGACGCATTTGAATTCTCAAGATGCCACGTATTGTATTTTCTGATTTAATTTTGAGTAGTTTCTTATTAAATGCCCCATTACTTTTTATAAGAACATTACAAAGCTTTATTTTTCATTCACAAACCATTAGGTGGGAATTGCTTTTAATTAATTGGGTCTGTAATACCCTAATTTAAATTCATGAGTATGTCTGAATTATTTTGTTTATTTTAAAGCTTGTGGTACCTTATTTTTAATTTTGTAATTTGAGATCTCTTCTGTGCGTTGATGGGATTTAAAAAGTATTTGTCATCTATATGAAAGGAAGCAAAAGTAAGATAAATTTAATAGACCGAAGAGCAAAATATTTGTCCTGCTTGAGTAAACCTTAGAAGTGGAACCTCTACTCAGTTTCCTGCAAAAGAACTTGATTCCCTCTTTTCCTTTTTATTTCAGTAGTATTGATTCTCAAAAATATTAGCTAGAGAAGAAAAACCTAGTGAACGTGGTTTTAAATGTTAAGGAAATATGCCATGCTGTATCTCTTTCAGTCATCTAAAAATATGTTCAGAAGTGCTGTTAATATAACTAGGATTGAATTTATGGTTTGTAAGCTTTTTGTAAAATTATTTCTATATTGGGTTTTCCCCCATTTAAATCTATACTTAATATTGTGTGAGCAAACTATATAGATTGTTATATCAAACTAGACTAAATATCCTTTTTAAAACCAGTAATGTATCAAAATCATTGTTTTACACTCAGCCTTTTCTATCTTTACCACTTGGTTCTAATACTACTTTAAGGGTATGATTTTATCATAGTTAGATTACTTAACATCTGTGAGATTGTTATCTGAAAAAGCCAAGGGATGTCGCCACGTGGATAGCTTGATGTTACGTGGCATTTGCAGGCACTTTTTCCTCCTATTAAGTTTGCTGTAGACTGCTTCAGTAATATGGGTGGTATAATTGCTGTAGTAAGTTCACTGTTAGGTCGTTGATTGTTAAAATTACTTCCTTTGAAGCCGAGTTTTTGTGTAACCAACTTTGAAATGACAGAGGTGATTTTTGGTGACCTTTTATGTGCCAGTGGTCATCAGCAAAGACATACTTGTTATACAAGTTTGGCTTCATTGAAGGTACCTGTCAGGTGCTTTGCAAAGTATCTTGACCAAGTAAATGCCTTTAATTTATAAATTAAGGCAGAGTTTTAATGTCTTGCAAAGTTATTTTATATACTCCAGATGAAATATTTTGTCTTCTAAAATTGAGAATTAGTGATACACATTGGAGAAAACTGGAATTCCTAAATTATTTCATCATTTGTAGAATGAGGCTATACTACTAAGCTCAACTGTAGGAAGGGTCTGCCCTTTTTTCCTGTTAACATAAAACAGACCCATCAGTGTTTTTGGCACTTCTGTAAGAAGATAAGGTACAGTGAGGTATAGGGATAAACCCATAAAGCTTAGGTCAAAGGTTCCAAGTGGAATTAAAAATTGGGAGTAGTTTTTTTTTTTTTTTTTTTTTTAGCTAACAGCAACAACAACAACCAAATCTTACATTCTAGATGCTTGGAAGGATTTCCCAGATCTTAGTATTAACTCTATATATTTCAGTTGTACAGACAAAGCCCATATTATGAGTATTTAAGTAATCTTAGGTTTCTAGACGTTAAGCCATAGACTTTAAAATTTTTACAGACTAAATGTGTATGAGTGTGTTTTTTTTAAGGATATCTTTAGGAGTAATAGTTTTCCAGAAAACTAATTGTATAAGCATCTCTCAAGTTCCGATTTAGTCCCTTAAGGGTGTTTGTATTTTGAACAAGTAAACTTTTGAGAATGTTTGCTTCCTATATAGTAAGAAGGATGGGGGATTTCAGCTACTAAAATTTGGGGAAGTTAGAGTGAAAGTCACTAATTTTTCTAATGAGCAATTTCTGTACAATTTTTCTCAAGGTTTGTTGGCATCCAAAGCTGTTGGGGTGGATGGTGCTGACAGAAAGGAAGACTGCACTGAAACAGCTCCAATGCTGGAGCAGGTATGAAACGGTAGCGTTTGATTGTTTTCAAGGTCCCCAACTGGAATGCTCACGGAGCTAGAGTATCCACGTAATTGAAATTGCCCTTGTGATCAGATATGGGAATAGGAAGCTAATTAATGGATGATATATTTTTAACTCTGCCTTCTCCCAGGTATACAGATAAACTACAGACTTCGTTAGTGTTTGTTTTCAGTAGACTGGCATTAAAGCCTCTGTCTCGGACATTTCTTGAAGGCCCGGAGACAGGCATCCCAGGGTATAAGCTTCCAGCTGGACCACATTTAACTAGCTTACAAAAAGACCCTTACACAAATACTTTTAATTTGTGAGTTAAAACAGGGTTTTTGACATCTAATAAAGCTTCTTTTGTAAGAAGTTTCTTTTATATTGTAACAGTTGGTGTTGTTAGACTGACTATGTGTTTTATGAATTGATCAATGAGCCATACATTTTTGCTAGGATGTATATTTTAATAACTACAAAAAAAAAGAATTTTACAAAACTATGAAGGGTCTGTCTTTAAACCACCTAATAGAGGAATTTAAAAGCGAAGGTTGCAGTTGCTAGATTTTGCCTTGGCTACCTTCAGATTCCCACAGTACCTGTACATAACGAACTGTGCATGCTTTTACATTCTCTAAGGGCTTAACTTCTTGGGCACTGTAAGACTATAAGAACACAGTAATAGCCATAAATGGATTTCCTTGGTTCTCCTGTTTTAAAATCTGAGCCTTAATGTAGTTTTAATATATCCTTTTTGTATTAATTTAATTTTCTTTATTAGTAGCCTAATAAAGAAGACTTTAAAATGAGTATCTTTTGCTCTTCTCTATATGCGTTTTAAAAAATAGTCCAAATTTAATTGATATTGTATTGAGTTTTTCAGGGTTATTTTAGGCCTGATTTGATAACAGTGCATTGTTTTGGTGCCTCCATTAATGTTGTATTAAACCAATGGTCTTTTAAATTGATATGTCAGCGAATCATGCCTTCTGATTTTCTGTGATCATCAAGCGGTTAAGTCTTTGCCGTTACTGTCAGTATATCAACCAAATTTTAAGTGATTTTTTTTTACTCTGTATTACTATATTCAACGTCCCAGATAAAACAGTATTTTGTATTTTCACCACTGTTTATGGTATTCTCAGAATGCAATAAATCAGGGACTTGGGTAATAAAATGTTTCTGGAAAATTCATTACAATGTCAATCTTTCATTATGCACAATCCTGCTGCGGTGAATGTGATTGTGAAAATTACTTACTGTTAGCGTAAAGGGCAGTGCCCATTTCAGAGATAAGTACAGACAACAACATTCTGAAATTGAGTTTAAAAAAAAAGAAAGAAAAATTGAGTAACTCGGCTGTTTCTATTTGCATAAGTAAGACATTTTTGAGAGTCCTTGCCAGTTTTGTAACAAAGAGACCAATAATCATTACTGAAAACTTTGTAAGTTATTTTAGATTTTTAAGGAACATAAGTGCTGTTCCCTCATTTTTTGTCATTCAGATTGATATCATTGTGAAAATGTTTTGTAACCAAACTCTTAATTTTTATGCTGTTTGCCCTGCTTCAAAGTTAAAAAGCCGAGTTATAAAACTCTCAATTACGAGTATTGGTATCTACTCCAGACTTAACGGAGAGGTATTGATTGTCACTAACCTCTGTTGTCTTAATGAGTAAAATAATGTCGCTCATGACATAGATTGATAACAGGCCTATAGCCAGAACTTACTGTGCTAATGGATTTCCTTTATTTACACTTTTAAAAAATTCAAAGTGTGGTTTTGAACCCCAATTCTCAGATATTAATTATAGCTTATTTAATTGTATTAGGGAATTGTCATGTTATATTTACTTTTGGATAAACCTGCATTAGATGCATAATTCAGTAAGTTTTTAAAAATGTTAATTTGTCCTTGTTTAGAAGTTAAGCACCTTATCAAGATACTAATTTAAGTTTTAAAATCTTGTTTTATAACTTTGTAACTCGAGAGTACTGGATGCTGTAGTGATGTCTCTCACATATGTGAAGATGAACAATAAAATTGTTTATTTACAAGTAATGGCTCTAATTACTTTTCTGGCAACACCTTTTATGATAAGTCTAGGAACCCTTTCCATTTATGGAGTACTTTTTCAAATGATTAATCTGCACTTATACACATGTGTAATGAGTAAATTCAAGAATAGAAATGATGACAACTGAATGAATGGGACACTTGACACCAGCCCTTTTATGTGGTATGTCTGACATGCCACATCTGTAGGGCATCCAGAGGTGCCCTACTTAAAACCAACTGTACACCAAAATTTGAGTGCCTTGTATTTTAGTGGGAGCAGAAGGCTGTTTGGTCCCCAGACAATGATCTTTCATATTCCACAGAACTGCAGACTGCTGACCTGATGGTCACCCCTCACAAAAGATCAGGAAGTAAAAAGGTTTCCTGGGGACAAGCATGTTGTTCATAGTGCTAGCAATTTGATTCTATTTTATAGAGGCCTATCTTAGTATGGATTTTTTAAAAAAGTGTATCTCCTCTTTTGCTCTCAGATACGTGTGTCAGGAAGAGATACAGCATAGGCATTCCCACACCATAGATTGTAAATCCATCCAATGTGGCTATTCTCTGTTGTCTTTGGACACATTCACATCTATTTCTACATAGGTAGGAAATTGTACTGCCAAATGAATAAAGATATCCTTTATGAAAGAACTGACAAAGTTCTAATTTTTTTTTAAAAGTATCAGTTGGCAGGAGGAAGGTAAAAATTCTCATCTAAGAATGCGACGTATTTTGTTTTTAAATCCAATGTTTTTAACTTACACTTGGTTTTACTCCTTGGTTTTTTTTGTTGTTGTTGTTGCTTGTTTTGTATTGTTTTTTAGTCTTTTAACTCTGTATTGCTGGTGGCTTTGATTTCATGATGCACTATGCTTATGAAACTCTAGCTTTCAGCACTAAAATGAGTTAAAGATAATGTTTCGTTAATTTGGTCATTGTTTTCCTGTTGAGATCTTTCTTTAAAGGGGAACTGTCTACTTAGACCTCTGCATTCAACTTGATAAAAGAGATTGTTTTATGAGAAAACTTCTAAAAGTCAGAAGCTTAAATGTATTCCTCTACTGCCCTAAAAAATGAAGATGCTCTTTATTTACCTAATTGTTATTAAGGTGTAGTTGGTAATTATGGTTTCAAATGAGATCTATTTCACAGTGTAATACTGTGAAAATCTTTGTCCATCAAGATAAAATTTTATATTCTGAGAATATTAGGAATAATATATTTTTAAATAGTCAAACTTAGACTAAAAGTTGACAGCATCCCTTTAAAGATAGCCTATTCAACTTTTAGTTAATAATTTGTGGGGTTCTTTTTGGTTTTTCATTTGTAATAGAAATGTTATATGTTGCTTAACAATGTTTTTGGATACTAAAGTTGCTTAACAATCAAAATAGAATACAAGAACAAAAATGAAGAAACCAAAATAAAAATATCAATTTTTTATTATTTATTCAGGCGATTTCACCTAAACCTCAAAGTCAGAAAAAAAATGAAGCTGACATTAGCAGTTCTGCCAACACTCAGAAACCTGCACTGTTATCCTCAACTTTGTCTTCAGGGAAGGCTCGCAGCAAGAAATGCAAACATGAATCTGGAGATTCTTCTGGGTGTATAAAACCCCCTAAATCACCACTTTCCCCAGAATTAATACAAGTCGAGGATTTGACGCTTGTATCTCAGCTTTCTTCTTCAGTGATAAATAAAACTAGTGAGCACAGATTTTTAAAAAATAGTTACTTATCCTATAAGATACATTAAAACAGTTTGATTGTAGTTATATTGTATTTTTATGAAGTTGCTTTTTACAAATTCAAACTTAAGTGGATATGATAGGGAAGGCTTAAAACTATTTCAGGGGCAAAAAGCATATACATTTCTGACTGATTTATTGTACAGAGACTGTACTGGTTGAGAAACCTTACCATTTAATAACGCAAACTCTTTAACTGTAGTTTGGCTATCCTCAATAATAATAATCCAAGCACAATGAGAGGCCTGATTCATTACAAAAAACCAAACCAAAACAAAACAGAGAGAAAGACTCACACTGGATATTTTTTCCTCAACTCCTAAGACTATTCTTATGGATAGATCTAGTTATTGTCCCCATTTGTCTGTATCCCCCTGCAGTACATTTTATTCATTCTTGTTCTGGGATTTGGAGTACAAATTTCAATTTATTTTTACTAACAAAGGAAGAAGAATGCTTCCTTGATCTTATTTTTAAAGATTTTACTGTTTCAATACCACTAATTTCAGGGTAGTTAACTTATTATTAGTCTTTATAAAATAGCCATCATGGGTCTGGATATATAAAAGAAGATGACCCTGTGTTTCTCCTGTTAGTTTAGTATTCTAAGTTAGAGACATATGAAAAACCGTTACATGGGAAGGCGCTGGATAAAGAGATACTTCCCTTTGGCAATTTATACATCAAGTGAATTAGTATCCTGACTAGTAAATGAATGTGACACATTTTCTTATGAACTCTTCCATATCATATCTTCCACAATGAAAAATGTTGGCATTGAGAAGACTTTTAGCAGTCAGATATAGTCACCTCTTCTTCCATTCAGTTGCCATATTTTCTACCAAACCATATTTTTGAATTTTTGAGCAGGCTTTGGTACTTTCTTGGTTTGGTTTTGTTCTTTTTAATAAATGGGTAGAAAGAATGGGAACAGAAAAGCTCAGTTGTTTCCTCATAAAGCTTCATTTCATTTTGGCATTTATCATGAAATGATGTCATTAGTAGTCACCACAATGTCATGTGACATTGATAAGTATTTTATTTTGAAATTGTTTTGTATTTTGGTATTATAGCCACAGTGTTACAGCAATTGAATTTTATTCTTTCATTTTTTCAATTATCACCATGTCTTTTTTTGTTTTGATTTTTGTAAAATTACTTTTAAATACCCAAAGCATCAACCTCTCTAGACCACTCATATTTCCTCCTTCTAAGTTAAGATAACATGAGTGTATTGGCCTGTGTAATCTGCCTATTCTAAATTCTTCTAACATGTTTACATGCCACGTAGAAAGAAGAAAACTAAAGGTTAAAAAAACCCCAGAAATTTCCAAACTTTTGTGTTCCATAGCTAGAAGATGTTTAATTGACCTACCAAGTTGGTTATAAAAAAAAAAAAATGAGGACAAGAATAGTGTTCTGTTCTTTTAAAGTCCTCATTATTTGCCTGTAAGTACTTAAAGTTGTTTGTGTTCAATTTTTTTTAATGAATCAGGCCCAAACTTATGTTTATAAAAATCCATTTGTGGGAATGAGGGTGGGATAAACTTACTTACGTTAGTTTTATTTTGGCAAGTGAAGCACTAACTCTACAATGCATGTCAGATTTTTGTCACCTATGCCCCCTGCCTTTTTTTCCCTTCGAGTTTCTAGATTTGTAATGTAGCAAAAGGAATATATATATATATTTTCTTAATTTTTAAAAAATCTCAGCTGTACAGAGACTATTTTCCCAAAGGAAAAATAACAACTAACACAATGATCTGCAATTAGAGAATTAACTGTAGTCTGTCACTTGGGAAACTACCTGAAATCAATGTTCCATGTTTTTTTCTTTTGGTTCTAGTAGGCTTTAGATTTTAGAAGTTTTGATTTAACTTTTTGTGAATGAGGGCACAGTTTTTGCCTATGATTACTTTTGGAACATGCTGTTCCTTGTGGATACCTTACAACATCAGAGGGCAGAATTTGAATCATTTTTCCCATTTATCTCCTTAAATATTATAAGATGATCCTGGCATGTGTCTGCTTCGTGAACATTGAAGATCTTTTTCTAGGTTCTCCACAGCCTGTGAACCCCCCTAGACCTTTCAAGCATAGTGAGCGGAGAAGAAGATCTCAGCGCTTAGCCACCTTGCCCATGCCTGATGATTCCGTAGAAAAGGTTTCTCCTCCCTCTCCAGCCACTGATGGGAAAGTATTCTCCATCAGTTCTCAAAATCAGCAAGAGTCTTCAGTACCAGAGGGTAATGTATATTGATTTCCTATAGAACCAAACATAAAAGAGATAAAGATTATGAAAACATTAAGAATTTTCTTCTTTTTCCTTCTTACATCTTTTGGATTTATAAGCACTTGGTTTACTCGACAGATATTTATTGAGTGCGTTCTGTTGTGCCAGGCACTGTGTAACTTAGATAACATTTTAATCCACATTGGTATTAACGGAGTCAGTTTATCTGTGTTAATATTCAATTACATTCTTTATTTTGTGTAGTGCCTGATGTTGCACATTTGTCACTTGAGAAGCTGGGACCCTGTCTCCCTCTTGACTTAAGTCGTGGTTCAGAAGTTTCAGCACCGCTAGCCTCAGATCCCGCTTACCATAATGAATGTCCCAGGGCAGAAAAGGAAGACACACCGATGCTTACAAATCCTTCTTCCAAAGCAATAGCTGATGGAAGAGGAGCTCCAACAGCATCAGGTAAAAAAGATTCATTTTACAAGTAGCTAGGCTTGCAGTTAGAGGGTGTAGACATTTTGATGTTTAATTACATTATTTTAATATGTAATTCCTCTTTAGAGATACTTTTATGTAACCTCTATGGGAGATAGGGTTTCTCTGTCAAAAGTTCTTTTGGGAGACCATTTACCATCACTTTCCCTGGACTGACTTCCTGTTTTGTCACTTTAATCAGAGTTCCTTCTCCTTGCTTCTTTCTTATATCCTATTTCAACTAAAAATAGGAATTGTTAGAGCTAAAAATAATTACAGGAGTTCTTGGTTTTGAAGCCAGAAAATACTTAATGGGATCAGAACTTTGGTTTAAGGATTTAATAGAATGTAGTATTTAAGAAACACATGGCTTAACTTTTAACTGTATACCTTAAATGTACTCCCACATTTGCTGTCAGAATCTCCCAAATTTAAATGTCATTTGTTATACTGTTATTTTGGGAGTCTAATGTGTAACATCAGCCAATAACACATTTGGCTGGTGGACGATTCTGATACTGTAACATATGATAAGGTTACATTGTTTTATTTGGAAGTTTTATAGAATTTTAACCTCAACCAGAGTATACATGATTTATAAAAAAGGCAAATACTAATTTCAAATGTTCTTCTAGTAAATTACTAATTTGGAGTTAGATGGATGAGAGAAGTCTGAATTGAGCCAGAAATGAAGAAAAATGTAAGACTGTTTCTTGATCTGCAGCCTAGAACATTAGGAGTGATTGTTTTAATAGCACCTTCCCTAGAGTCACTTTATTTACCAACTCATCAGATGAAGTGTAAAATAGAGCTTGCTCTTTTCCGGTGGTGGCACATACTAAAATAAAATGAAGTAACTTACTTTTTAGATTACTGCCTTTACCGTCTTTCAGAGTAAAAATATATTAAATACTCAGTTTTCCACAGTTAGATTTTTACCACTAAAGATTAAAGTTACTTTGTTTCTATATTTTGTTTCCAAAAAAAAAAAATCAGTGCCCAAATCTGAAGATTTATAGGTTTTGAAACATTTGTCATTTCCCAAATCTGATCCATTGTCTTTGACTCCTTTTCCAAACCCCTTCTATCCGTAGGGTAGTTAATTTTTTCTTTTCCCTTTCCCTACAAAATTTCTGAATTACCATTGACTTTTCGAGATATTTTTCCTGATGAAGGTCTTCTCCAGCTCTTTAATAATCTGTAGTTTTTTGTGGTACTGGTTATATGAAAAATATGTTAAAAGTTATAATGATTTGTATCTTTTGGGAAAATTATTTTTAGATGTGCATTTGAAAATATTTGTATTTTCTTTAAATATATTGTATTTTGTATATTGTAAAAATACTGTATTCTTTTTAAATATATATATAAGTAAATATGTATATATTCTAATAGTAATGTCACTGAAACATAGACCAGTATAAGCAGCTATATAATAACTAAGAGTGATGTTAGATTGTATATCCTGAAATGTCCAAGTAGTGATTGCATACAGAATGGAAATTCTGATAGAAATGATTTTGCTCCTAATCAGAGTATTAGCCTAGTCTTTTTTCAGAATTTCTACCGTATTTATGGACATACTGCTAATTATGACTGGGGCGTGGTTCTTGTTTCTCATAATAGTTAAAATGTTTTTGGGGAGAGAGAAGGCACAATATTCTTTTTGTTTCTAAGTCTTGGAAATAACTTTGATAAAGTCACAGTAGTAAGACAGTTTTCTGGAAAAGTGAATGGTAGAGAGTTTAGATTTGTAAAATGATGAATTTGTCGATGTGCTGAAGAGTGAGGATCCTCTGCATGTGATGATGACTGGCAACTTTTAATTGCTTAAATCAAGGAAATGCATGGCTTAAATGTTAATTACTTAAAGTCCGTTTATTAGAGGGTTGAACGCAGTCACAGTGTTTGAATGTGGCGTGATGGGGATTCTAATTTATTTCTATTACTCCTTTTAATTTTTTATTTTTGGAGAAAGCAGTGGAATTCAGGTCATATTCTAATTGGACACCTTTTTATTAAAACTTTGTGAGTCTCTCTGACTTGCATTGAAATTCTGAGTGGTTTGCATGCTTTTTTCTCCTAACATTTTTGTTATCTACCTTTTCTCAACTGCTTTGCAGTCTTTGTTGGACTTCTTTCTGCTTCCTAAGGACTCTGTACTCATGTACAAAGTACCAGGTGGTTTTGTTTTTGTTTCTTTTTTTTTCTATAATACATGTGTGGTTGCTTTGCTGGTTGGTGGGTTTCCGTCTTCATTATAAAAGTAAATTTTGTTACCTTTGAATTTTAAAACATCTGTAGAAAGCGTTATTTATCCAGACTTGTATCAAAGACATTTTCTGGGCTATTTTGTCAAATTGAAACTCTTGGGGTGTTTAGAATGATGAGGATGTTGGTCATGAGCTGTAAAATAGTTTAGCAGACTTAGATTTTCATTTTTTTGTGTGTGGAAGAGATGTGCACATTGCTGAGTTTAAAAATCGTGGTAAAGGATTGAGATTATGCAAATTATCATATACACCTGTTCTTTAACAGGTTAAAATTTTATTTTTAATTGTAGAGATAACGAGCTCGCACTAATCCTTCTACATTCTTTTACTGGGAACCATGCCAACATGATGGTAATCGAGGTGAAGAATACTATTGCTGCCCCCATTCCCCAAAGAAATCATTGGTACCCTTGTAAAAATTGATGCCTTTGTTTTCATTTTATTATTAGAGTGCTTTATCTAACAGAGCCAAGCAGTTTTAAGTGAGGATAGAACCTTAGGTTTGGGACTATCTAGAAATGTTAGCTCATTTGCTCATTTATCTGCTGAATGTATGAGTAACAAACACCGAATTGCTCTTACCTCTTTAAGGAGTTAAAAAGATAAGGAAGCTCAGTGTAGGAAAGGGTGAGCCAGTAATAATCACAGAAGCTCTGACTTGTGGACTGCTTGCCTGGGCTGTGGCACTGTGCTAGCACTTAATTTTATTTATTTATTTAATTTTATTTTTTTAAAGATTTTATTTATATATTTGACAGAGAGACAGCGAGAGAGGAAACACAAGCAGGGGGACTGGGAGAGGGAGAAGCGGGCTTCCCGCGGAGCAGGGAGCCCGATGCGGGGCTCCATCCCAGGACCCTGGGATCATGACCTGAGCCAAAGGCAGACGCTTAACGACTGAGCCACCCAGGCGCCCCATGTGCTAGCACTTTAAATAGATAGGTTTTAGTCCAGTGTCTTACCTCAACTTTGCATTTACTTTTTAAAAGCCTTTTTACGTGTTTTTCATTTTTTTTTTTTTCCAGAATTGTGCAAAACAAAACTACAACCAGGGACTCCGTAATCTACTTCCACCCCCACACCAAATGTTCATGGCTCCTACAGAGCCTGGGGTTTCCATGGAGAGTCTCAGGGAATAGCCTTGTTTTTAGCCAGAGGAATTACAGATAGTTATCATACTGGAAGGGGCTTGAGAAATCCCCTGCATTGCTGGGTTTTATGTTGTGTGCAAGCAGATGCTGTGCAGAGACCTCTCTCTCTTTACATAGCTCTGTTTGTTTTTATTGTTCTTTTTTTTGGTTTTTGTATTATGTATTGGACTATCCTGTAATATTTTGTTTGAAGAAAGTGTTCTGTTGATAAAATTTAGTTTAAAAATCACTATTCAATAAACTGATATCCTCATTCTTTGGCTCCCAAATTCCAGCACATGGTGAAATAAGCATAAGGTAGTGAACTTCTTATAAAACTAAGTTTTTTCTCTTGTTGAATTCTCAAATAGGTCTATTTTATTTTTCTATTTAGGTATGTTTTTAGAAGTCCTGTCATTATTGCAGCGATGAATATTTATTTTAATATCCTTATATAAAATGTTGACAACCCTTTGTCAGTCCCTCAGTTTTACTTCTGAAATTTATCAGTCAAGAAATCAAAAGGTTTGGGGACCACTGGAACACGTGAAAACTGTATCTAGACCTAGTCCTTTCTGAAAGCACTCTGGGAGTGATTATCTCTGTTCTACACTGACCTGTGTTCTGGAGCAGTGAGCAGTTCATAGACGTTTTATTTGTCCTCCAAGTACCTGAGGGATCCCACAGGGTCCAGTGAGTGGAGGCAGCCCAGTAAGGCAGTTTTCTTTTGAATCACCTTGGATTCCGTGCTCCATTGGGTTGGGGATCTGCAAGGCAATAATCACAATCAAGGGCTGCTTCTGAGCATGTCTGCTACCACTTTGGACTCAGAAGCCCCTTTCTCATTGTTCCTCTGGTAAGTGCCTCATTATTTTCAGGAAAAACGCATCAAACGTGGAATTTTCACTGTGTAATTAGTAGTTAATAAATAGTAACTATTAAAGGAAGTGTTGTGGGATGCCTGGGTGGCTCAGTTGGTTAAGTGTCTGCCTTCAGCTTAGGTCACAGTCCTGGGGTCCTGGAATCAAGCCCAGAGTCAGGCTCCCTGCTCAGTGGGAAGCCTGCTTCTCCCTCTGCCTGCCACTCCCCCTGCTTGTGCTCTCTCTCTCTCTCTCTCTGACAAATAAATAAAATCTTTAAAAAAGAAATAGAAATAAAAAAATAAAGGAAGTGTTGCATTTGTTCAATAGTCTTGATAATACGGAAATTTAAATTAATTATTTAATTATATTTCTCTTAATGCTGATGTTCCTTTCATTTTTTATTGTGAGAGATTTTTTTTGTCAAAGACTATCAATATTCTTAATTTGAAACTTAACTTATTAGAGCCTTATTAACATTTAATTCAAGTTGAGTGGTATTTTTGTATTTTTATTAAGCTTAAATTATATAAAATATTCTGTATTGGAGTGACTTAAAAATTAACAAACCTTGTGAGTGGCTGTATTAAAGCACTTTAAAGTATTAAAGACAAATTGTATTTTAAATGCGTTGTAATATTTTTCTTAGATTAACCTTAGATACACATAAGATATTAGCATTGGAAATGGTTGAATGTGAGTTGAGAAGCTTGGTTAAATGTATGTGTGTCAGCTACACCATTACTGAGGTGTACTGGTTTAAAAATATATTTTGGACTATAATAGTACCCAAATGTCATGAAGGTGTATATTTTTAATGTGTAAATGAGCTTTTGTATTTTACATTTAGATAAAGACCAAAAATGATTTGTACAATAATTATATTTTGGCTTTTATCATTACCTAACAACACATTTATGATGGAGTTCAAAGGTACAAGTTTATTTTAGGCAACAGAAATTAAGTATTAGTTTAAAAATTACATGCACATTGTTGAAAACCAATATACTTTAATATGAAGTTTAATATTTCATATGGATGACCTGAATAGCATTCACGTTGTCACAGAAGCGGACACATTACATCGGACCTACCACTGGGGTGCATTTCAGCATCTGGAATGCCCAAGGCTATGGTGCCAGAATAGATTCTTATGGATTGCCCAGTACATTTATCTAACTTTTTAAATGTTTGGACCCGTGTTTATGCTATTTCTAGAAATGGTGTAGTCTTCAATTATTACCACACCACAGAGGAGAAAGTGAAAAAAAGCACTTACTATTACTCTGACACTGGTCTAAACATTTTATGTGTTTTGCCTCACATAATACTCATAACGTGAGGTAGAGAGTCATTCCTATTAGGCGGATAAGGAAACTGAAGCACAGAGAGATTAAGTGATTTGTTCAAGGCCAAACAGCTATTAACCGGTGGAACCAGGATTTTAATGTGGGTAGTCTGAAGGAACAAAAATCATTCTTAATTTATCAGTCTTTTGAAGTAAGAAATCCCACTTCTTTGTCACTAGTTCAGGAAATAAAATATGTAGACCTTTAGGAGAAAAGCGTCTTAAGTAGGGTTTTGTGAGCACTTGTAATGTAAAACATTGTCCCATAGTTTTAAACCTTTTCTGACTAAACTTACCTATTTTCCCCCCTAAATCTGCAGGACTATCGAAAACAGAAAAAAAAGTGAAATTGGAAGAAAAAAGCTCAACAGCATTTGGTATGAACAGAAAGTAATCTTTAAGCAAAAGACTATTGGCTTGGCAGTGGGAGGACGTAGTCTGTCCTTTACTTTTTACCTGTTAGTGCTCCTTTAGGTGTAAGTGATCATCTGTTTTAGTATTTATTAGTGTTATTCAGCTCCAGATACATGATTTCTTAAACACATATCTTATGTGTATTTTTTTGGTTCAAGGGAGTCTAAGGCTTTCACTGAGAATTTTGTGTTTTTGAACATCTTTACAGTTACAGCTATTTAAAAATAAGCCACCATTTAATATTGTTGAGACTTAGGGAATGGATGATGAATTAAAATAGTCATTTTTTTTTTCAGACTTTCTTCTTTGACTTTATAAAAAAGTTACTGAGTTTTCTGCTTTTTTTTTTCTGTCTTCTGTGCTATAATGACGAGAAGTTTTGCAATAATTGATGATAGTCTTAAATAGTCTGTAGATTAGCTCACTGGAGCTTGGGTCCCTGAAGTTGTTTAAATATGTTTGACATATTGTAGGCTACATCATTCTGAGTTGGAGCAATAGTTGAGTATATGTGATGAACCAATTTTAAGTAAAGTACCCTGGGACACTGCTTTAACATCCATTCATTTTCTTTAAAGTACATATTGGGAGAAAAAAGGGTATTTTAAAATTTGGGGAAAAATCAGTTTAATGAAATAAGTTTTTTGCTTTGTGTTCTTCGCCTTCATTGTTGTACACACTGGGAAGTATTGGAAGACTGAAGGAATTATTTATGGATTGATTTAATTTTTCCAAAGGAAAAAAATTCATTAAGTTCTCTTTTAAATCTAATATATTTTCTCATTAAATTCTCTGTGGAAATACTGAGTCTTCTCAGTCAGGTCTTTCTTAAATTATGGAGTTTATTTCTCACCACATCAGGGAACTGAGTATATTACTCATTTAAGATTTTAACTACTGTCTGTGTTAACTTCAAGGTGTCAGGAGTTGGGATTTCTCAACACTGCTAATGAAGACCCCCTCTTAGAGCCCAATAAGCTAATCAGGAGTTCCAGACTCATGACAGGAACAGTTTAATTGAATCCATCCACTGGGCAGGTGACTGGAATAGCTGATTAAAACATAAATGCTGCTTTTAGGTTAACCACAGAACAACAACTCAGGATTGGTCATGATGGCTAACTTTGTCACTTGTGTCATTTAGGTAAGAGAAAAGAGAAGGATAAGGAAAGAAAAGAGAAGAAAGACAAAGACCATTACAAACCAAAACAGAAGAAGAAAAAGAAAAAGAAAAAGAAATCCAAGCAGCATGGTAAGTATGCTAAAATGGTGATTCCTGTTTTTTAAAATTCTCAGATTCTTTCCATTTTTCTGTGTCCTTCTACCAGTGAAGATAGGGTAAGATCCACATGTTGTCGAGAACTTAAGAAGTCCTTGTAGCTTTTCCTTGTCTTGCTGATTTAGAAAATACGCAGCTTTGTTTACTCTAACCTGTAAATTAATCCATCTGTACACTACATTGTTGCAGCCGATTAGAGACTTTCATTGCCAGCATCATATGGTGGATTGGATACCCTTGTCAGGTGTACTTCAGCTACTGAAGGAATTCTTTTCAGTCTAGAATTATAGCCCCTTGAAGTAGCTTTCAGAAATGAGGATGGAATAAAGGTATTTTTAGAAGAACTTGAAAAAGAAAATGATTTTTCTATCAATACCCTGTCTAAAGGATATCCTTACCCTGTACTTGAAGGCTGAAGGAGAACGATGACAAAGGAAGGTTTGAGATGCCAGAAGAAAGGATGAGCAAGGAAAATGTAAATATGTGGATAAGTCTGAACATTGATTATATAAATCATTTTGATTTGTGGGGAAAAACAAAATGGCAGAGCACAAAAATATGTGACAATAATAATAGCTTGTAAATTGAGAGAGGCATGCTTGTATTTCAGTGTTTTTCAGGTCTTGTATTGTTGTGGAAGAGCAAAAGAAATACATTGCTTTTAGGCTCTAACAAGTGAAATCTGCCTTGTAGAATTTCTAACATGAATACTAAAAATTGAAGCTTAGGGTATAATTTCCAAAATAGATGGTAAGAAAATGTAATGAAAAAACCGTCCAAAAGAAGGTGGATACAAAGAGAAAAACATAGAAAAGAAGAAAAATACAAATTAAAAAATAAGGTGGTATAAATCCAAATATATCTGTAATTATAGTAAGAGATTATCATAATTGATTTAAAAAATCCAGTTATAGGTTATTTTCAATAGATGAATCTAAATATAAGGATGGAGAGGACAGAGCAATGTTGAAAAATAAAAGCATGGAAAAAAATGTGAGCAAATACAAACCAAAAGGAAAGTTGGAGTAGATATATTTATATCAAATAAAATAGTCACTAAGGGAAAATCATTCCTAGAGATAGGCTAATGTATAATGATAAAGGTTCAACTCACTTTAGAAGTTCCTAGATGGAAAATTAAAAAAAAAATTTTTTTTGAGAGAATGTGCATGAGCAGGGGAGGGGAGGGACAGAGGGAGAGGGAAAGGGAGAGAAAGACTCCTAAGCAGCCTCACCGCAGAGCTCGATCTCACGACCCTGAGATCATGACCTGAGCTGAAATCAAGAGTTGGACGCTTAACTGACTGAGCCACCCAGGCGCCCCTAAAATTTTTAAATTTTATAACTGAATAAATTCACAGTATCTTTCTTTTTTTTTTTAATTTTTTTAAGATTTTATTTATTTGCGAGAGAGAGAATGAGAAACAGAGAGCATGAGAGGGAGGAGGGTCAGAGGGAGAAGCAGACTCCCTGCTGAGCAGGGAGCCCAATGCGGGACTCGATCCTGGGACTCCAGGATCATGACCTGAGCCGAAGGCAGTTGCTTAACCAACTGAGCCACCCAGGCACCCCACAGTATCTTTCTTAGTAATTAGTAAATCAACAAAACTCAAAGACATTCTGTAAGGACAAGAGTGGTGGCAGCCACACAGGTGATCTCACAGCCCTCTCACGGACACTGAAGTCAGGAGCTGCAGAGCAGACCGTTTTCTCAGATGCAAACGTGCCACAATTGCACGATGCCACCCCAGGCAAATTCAACACATTGTGAAGACTGGGATAATGCAGACTGTGGTTTCTGACTACAGTAAAATCAATATGAAAAAGGCAAGTAGAAAAGCCCCGTGTGTTTGGAAATCCTACCACTCATTTTTAAATCATTCCTGGATCAGAGAACAGTACCAAAGGGAAGGTAAAGGTTGATTTATTTGAGAAAGAGAGAGAAAAAGCACGCACACGTGAGCCAGGAGGGAGGGGCAGAAGGAGAGGGAGAGAGAATCTCAGACAGACTCCACGCACAATGCAGAGCCGATGGTGGGGCTCAATCTCATAACCCTGAGATCATGACCTGAGCCGACACCAAGAGTTGGGTATTTAACCAGTTGAGCCAGTACCAGAGGGAAGGTAAATAAGATATTAAAAAATATATACCGAAACTTGAGAATGTAGTTAAAATGCCACTTTTATAAGAAGAGTATGCATTGCCATACATACTTATATTAGAAAAGAAGACTGAAAATCAGCTAAGCCTCCAGCTTAAGAAGTTAGAAATGAGGAAGCTCAAAAACAGTAGAAGTGAATAATAAACGTATGAGTAGAAATTAGTGAATGAAAAAAAAATATACTAGGAAGAAATAAAAAATGCCAAAATTAATTTTTTTAGAAAACTAATAAAATCAAATGTCTGGGAACACTGGTTAAGGAAAAAAGACAAAATGCACAAATAAACAGTATTAGGAACTAAAGAGAATATAGCTATAGATGTTCCATATATAAAAAGAAGAAAAATATAAACAACCTTATGCCAATGAACTTGAGAGGTTAGATGAACATATGGACATTTGCCAGACACCAGACTCACTCAGGAAGAAGGTACAAACCTGAGTAGTCTTCAAACCTGGAAGGAAATTTGATTAGTATTTTAAAATCTTGTCACAAAGAAAAAGTCCTGCCCCCAAAAGTTTCTGCTGCCAAGTTTTACCAAACACTGAAGGAGTAGATTATGCCAAACTTACATAAATCATTTCAGAACTTAGAGAAAGAACACTCCTGCAGTGGGAAGGATGGTGTCCCTCAAAAATGCATGTCCAGCTTCCAACCCTCGTACCTGTGAATGTGACTGTTTAGAAGTGGGATCTTTGCCGATGTGATTAAAAATGAGATCACCTGGAAGTAAAGTGGACCCTAAGGCCGACGGCTAGCGTCTTGGGAGGGAGGGGGCGATTTGGAGCCCATGGGGGAGAATGCCACGTGGGGCCCGGGCCGTGATTCGAGTGCTGCATTGCAGGCCAAGGCTCTCAAGCCACCAGCCACTGCAAGAGGCAAGGAAGGATTTGCCCCTTGAGGCTTGGCCTGTTGACTCCTAAGTTTGGACTTTCTGCCTTCAGAATACGAGAAAATAAACTTGTGTTGTTTTAATCCACCAGATTTGTGGTGATTTGTTGGAGCAGCCCTAGGAAACTAATGCAACTCCAGATTCATTTTAGATTATTTAAATAACTTTGCTCAAAATCAGAACAGTATGGGAAAGGCCCGTCATAGGCTTTTGTCATTTATGGGCATAGATACAGAACCCGTAAGTAAGTGTTACAGAATTAAACCCAGCAGTGCTTTAAAACGTAGGACCACAAAGGGTTGGAATGCAAAGTTGGTTTGACATTAGAAAATCAGGGGACCCTGGCTGGCTCAGTCAGGAGAGCAGGCGACTCTTGATCTTGGGGTTGTAAGTTTGAGCCCCACATTGAGGGTAGAGTTTTCTTAATGTAAAAAAAAAAAAAAAAAAAAAAAAAAAAATTTGAAAAAATCAGTGAAACTCACCACAGTAACAGATGCAGGACAATAAACATTACTATCCTTATATTTGTACAAAAAACATTTGATACATCCATTTTTCCTTACATTTAGAAAAAAACATTATGACTAGCTGATTATAAAACCTGATTTAGAAACAAAGAAGGACTAAAGCATGGGAGATAATTCATGTTCACTGGTTAGTAGATTGAATATTGAAAAGATGCCAGCCACTTCATGCTAAATACATCTATAGATTCAGTGCTGATTCTACAACTTACAGTGGAAGAGTAAGAAGCCAAAAATAATACAGTCCATCTTAAAGAATAAAGAGAAAAATTACTATTCAACTATAGTTTAAGGCAATGAGGCATTTGGAAGAATAGACGTATTGATTAAGGACAGGGTGGATAGTCCAAAGCATATACATATATCAGAACTCAGTTTATACACAGCTGGCATTCTTAGATGAGCAGATAAAGGATAAACCTTTCAGTAAATGGTATAAGAAATTTATAATCCACATGGTGAAGAAAAAAAATGAAAGTAGGATTCCTACTTTACACCATATGCAGCCATCAATTCCAGGTTGATTAATGATGAAATGTGTGAAAGATAACTGTAAAACTTTGAAAGACAGTATAGGAAAACATCTTTATGATCTTGGGGCAGGGAAGGATTTCTAAACAAAAAGTGTTAATTGTAAAGGAAAAGGTTGAAAATTTGACTAGACTGAATTAGAGAATTACACTAGAGAGGGGTTCAGTGGCAACCAAATGAAGCAGAAGAAAGGATCCGTGAACTCAAAGACAAGGCGACTGAACTCACCCAGTCAGAGCAACAAAAAAGAAAACAGAATGAAAAAAAGTTAGGATAGATTAAGGGCCTGATGGGACAACATCAAATGGACTAACTTTCACATTATAGGTGTCCCAGAAAGTGAAAAGATATTCCATGCAGATGGAAACCAGAAAAAAGCTGAAGTAGCTCTATTTTTATCACAAAATAGACTTTAAAACAGACAGTAATAAGAGGCAAAGATAGGTGCCACATAGTGATAAAGGGGTCGGTCCAGCAAGAGGATATAACATTCATAAATATTTATGCACACTATATATAGGAGCACCTAAATATAAAAAGCAAATATTGCCAGATCTAAAGGGAGATGTACCCCGCAACAATAATAGTAGGGGATTTTAACATCCCACTCACATCAGTGGGGAGACCATCCAAATCAACAAGGAAACCACCTTAAACAACATGTTAGACCAGATGGGCCTAACAGATATATTAGAACATTCCATCTAAAAGGAGAAGAATAGGGATGCCTGAGTGGCTCAGATGGTTAAGCATCTGTCTTCAGCTCAGGTCATGATCTCAGTGTCCTGGGATTGAGTCCCACATCGGGCTCCCTGCTCAGTGGGCAGCCTACTTTTCCCTCTCCCTCTGTTCCTCCCCCTGCT